AATATAAAATCTCCAAAAGACCAAGGAACCAACTTTAAGAAGTATGAATTATAAATATAATATATAAATACCAATGGATACCGATATGGATAACATATAACCATGGTAAAGGAATTGGAGATTTTAAAACTCACTATTAACATAGATGTACATGCATAACATATTAACAATTAATAATTATTGGTTTGAGATTAAATAATATATTATACACGAAGCACATCCATCGATAAATATATAAGTGAACAAATAAATAATAAGCGACTAGCTATATTTATTCTATCTACAATCATGATTAAAGATGCCGAAAAACTCCAAGTGGTCCATTTCGTTAAAGGAATTTTTTTTGTTGTGATCTCCTAAGTAAACATTCATCCAGCTCTCAGAAGAAATTTCTGTAAAAATACCTTAATTCGATAAGGAACTTTAAACATTTTATACACAATTCAAAAATATACAAGATGAAATATTATTAATATACCGTTGCTGCGACTGACAAGCTCCATATGTGATATTTGTAAAGTTTTGGGAAACAACAAAAAACGTGTTATTGAATATAACGAACAGAAACACTACCAAATTATTAATGCAATATAATAGACATTTATTTGAGACATATTAGAACTACAAAATATTCCATAAATATTTCTATTTAAGGAGCTAGATTTTTTTAAACCAAAAAGTGCACATAACTGGTTTAGAACCGCCTAAAACAATGCAGTATGTGCGTTATTGCACATTAAGCGTCTCCCACACAGAAGCGGCTTGCGGTGGCGGCCGCGGTGGCGGCCAGTTGTATTCGCTTGCAATGTAAGTGAGTCTGCAAGCCCACGCGGCCATGTCGCGATCTGCGAGCGGCTGGCCGCAGCCGCATGCCCCGCCCCTTTTGCCAACACGTGTGTACGCGAATACGCGGTCAGTCGGTGGCCGCAGCGCGGTCAGTTGCAAATTTTTACAACAGGCCGCGTGTACCGCGTGAAAAATGATGTTAAATTCAGAGATTTTAATAGAAACAGCGCAAAATTATCCAGTACTTTATGATAATTCGCTACGTGATTACAAAAGCATTAGAATTAGAAACAAAATATATGATAATATTGCAGAATATAAAAAGACTTCGCCACGGTTAGTCATGTTACTGACGTCCAATCGTAGTACAGACAACTCAGCGAATGGCGCAGAATGGCGCTTCAGACCGCCGCTGCGACCGCGGTTGTATGTTGTTGCAGCGGCTGGAGTCGCGGCTCGCGGTTAGCCGCCACCGCAAGCCGCTTCTGTGTGGGAGACGCTTTAAGAAAATGGCAATGTGACATTTTTTCATTTTTTTTATAGAATTAGGGTGACAAACGAGCACACAATCCACCTGATGGCAAGTGGTTGCTGTGGCCCATAGACATCTACATCTATCTTCGCTTGCGAATTAAAATGCAGATGCGTTGTCAGCCGTGAGGGCTAAGATAGAATGCCTCTTTTCCAGTAAAATAGGTCTCCGGTTCTCTACACTCACCATACGAAACACAGCAGCGTGGAGCTGCTATTTTACGCTGGTATTCTGTGAGAGCGTGGTCCTTCCCCGCTCGAGCCGACCCATTCTTGTTACAACTATACTATTAATATAGCTGCAGCATAACTCTACCACGTATATATGATATTAGGTTTATCATTATGTGATCTTTAGATTTACTTAGGTTACAAAATACTTAGATAATAAAATTATTAGAAACTACTAGAACTATAAAAAGAGATATAGAATAGTGACTTAGTACTTTATTTACTAAGTTCAACCATTCTTTGACAGAATGTAATTTAATAACTTTCGAAACAGGGTGTAATTGTGGCTACGAAAACGCGCTGCTAATATAGACTGAAGAAATAAAACAAAGGCTTGTACTCGTACTGTTGAGGAAACAGATAGCAATGTTTTATTCACTTGTTCAATTTTATGATGCACATGCTCCTGTTCATCCAAATAGAGTACGTCATCTCTCCGCCTCATAGTTGATACGTCAAATAACGTCGATTTAAATTTGCTAAATCAGCATTCCTCTTCTGCTTGCAACAACAATGACTCAATTTTCATCGTTTCCCACTCCTGACTTTTCTCCATTTGTGTTTAAGCAATTTGCAGTGTTAATTTGTGGTGTTAGGAAACATATACTCTCTATCTATTATGACTCTGTGGGTAGTGATGACCAGCGATGATCAGTCGTAAAATGATCATTCCCTCCCTTGCTAGACATTTAACACCTATATCTTAAATTTTTCCATATCCCCATCTTCTTTCCCTTCCCAACGGAGGGCGCGCAAATCATTACAAAAAAGCAAGTTCTCGAAGGTTTTCTGAATATCGTCCTATTTCGATTCTTCTCTTTCTTTCTAAAGTCCTATAACGCCTTGTCCAGCAACACATTAATTCCTTTCGTTTAATAAAATAGCATCCTCAATTCTCTTCAATTTGGCTTTAGATCTGGTGATAGTACAACTACGGCGTTATTAAAAATCACGAACGATATTCGTCATGGTATGTAGAATCATCAACTCACAGTGTTGGTGTTGCTGGATTTCAACAATGCATACTGTTGATCATGGTATTCTGCTAGGGATACTGCGTTCTCTTAACATATCTCCAAATGCAATTTTCTGGTTTCACAGTTATTTGTATGGACGCCGGCAACGACTTCGTATCCAGGATAGACTTTCTTCGTTGATTGATACCGTGGCTGGCGTACAAGGCGGCATCTTATCTCCTCTTTTATTACGATTACATCCCAAATATCTTCCCTCTGCCACTTGTATGCAGATGATCCCCAAATATATTTACAAACGACCAGGAAAGATCTTCCGAAAGCAGTTGATTGTATAAGCAAGGATTTGGCTTTTATTTTCGACTGGAGTCCATCGTATGGGTTAACTGTGAAACCTTTACCAAGATATAATTATTGAGAGTTCATATATTATTGATATATTTGCAAAATAAAAAAAAATCAATAATAACCCATTATATTTAATAGAGATCCCTTATAATGACGTAGTTAAAAATTTAGATATGCTTTTTGATTCCAGTCTTTCTTAGACTACCCAAATTAATGCAGTGAGTCGTAAAATGTTTGTAGCATATGCTTCACCCCGGGGCTTATCTACTATTTACCCATTTCCACTAAAATTACGCTTGCACAATCTTCACTATTCCCTGTCCTGGACTATGCTGACTTGTTACCTTGATATCACCGAGGAGCGATTTAACAAACTTGAGCGACTGTAAAATCTCTGTATACGGTTCATTTTTGGACTTGTAATTATGACCATGTCTCAGAATATCGCACTATCAATCCGTCCTCGTCGGAATACTTATATGCTTTATGCCCTTCACTGCATCTTATATAATATATCAAGTCCTCCCTATCTAAAAGAACGTTTTGAATTGCTCAGCTCCAGTCATAATTTTACGTGGTAGAGCCACGCTGCAGCTATATTAGTAGTATAGTTGTAGCACGAATGGGTCGGCTCGACCGGGGAAGGACCACGCTCTCACAGAATACCAGCGTCAAATAGCAGTTTAACACTGCTGTGTTTCGTATGGTGAGTGTAGAGAACCGGAGACCCTTTTTACTGGAAATTTTAGGCATTCCATCTTAGTCCTCACGAGTGACAACGCATCTGCGTTTTGATTCGCAAACGAAAATAAATGTAGATGTCCATGGGCCACAGCATCCACTTACCATCAGGTGGACTGTGTGCTCGTTTGTCACTCGATCCTATAAAATTTTTTTTTCCCCGAAGGTCCAAGGAAAATCTTTATAATTCCTTGCTCCATGCGATTAAAAGTGCTCAATTCTCACAATGATTTCCTCGTCACTATTCGAAAACCCAGTTTCAGATATACTATCGTTGCCTTCATAAATGTAAACCGTATTTTTATTTCGCTCTAGTTATCCCTGTCTTTTCATCGAGGAAGAAGTTTTCCTCAAGTAATTCCGTATCCTCTCTTAATTGGCCAGTGATTTCTGAACACAATAAAAGTGGTAGGTAAGTAAATCGTGAATTTATTACTATAGTCACTATTTACTTACAACTTTTACTGTGTTTTGATTCCGAAAATTATTTTATCATGTTGTTTACACCACATTCCTTACATCGCGCGACTGAAGACGGAACACAAATCATTTAAGTGCATTTCTGTACATACGATTTTTTCTAAACTGTCGAAATACATATGGAATTTGAATCGTTTCTAGTTGAAATATCGCAAAAAGAACTTTATCAACACATAGAGAACAAAACGGAGATTATGTTTAACGCAAAAAAACAAAAAATGAAAATATGCACATATGGAATTTGGTAGTCGCAGCGACGATACTCTAAACTCTAATACATCTGAACATTTTTAAAACAAATCTATATATCTTTACTTATGCTCATAACTGTAGGTGGACTTATGTCATCTGTTGTCTCAGGTTTGACTTGTAGTTGAAGCCAGATTGTTGATATTTGAAGAGATAGTGAGATTTATCCGGCTTGAAGGACCATTTTATTACATACTTGGTGTATACATGACGAATGGTTTGAAATTGACTGTATATTGCACAATATAAAGGCGGTATAATGCTTGCAGTTATGCAATTCCTATGAAGACAAGGAATAAGCTTACGTTATGTGGATCTTGTCACAAAATAAAAAAATACTCTATTTTATATAAAAATGGCCTCCAGATCGATTCGAGGACGGCAATACGACACGACCGGAGAGAGATTAGCCACAGAAGCAACGGCTTTACGGTGCTTTGCGAAGCACGGGAGTGAAACACTGCCAATTTCCTGACTCTGGACTACTACTAAAAGAACGCAATAATATAGTTTGATCCGATTTGGGATTCGAATCTCATGATCAACAATCAAGTTTAAGGTCACAAAACCAACGAGGTTCTAGCTGTGTTATATACTCAAATCTCAAGTTATCGTATTGACCAGGAGAACTTTGCAAAACCTTCTTTTACCTTAGTGTCATTATAAGGGCGGCGGTTCACGGATGCCCTCGCTGTGTCGCGTGCGTCCCGCAAGTTCCAGGATGGCCTTCGCCTCCGTGTTCGTGTCCAGCACGCTCACCTCCCGATCCTCCTACACAATATAACATAATATGTTAAACCTTGGTATTTAGTTAGCAAATAGAACCAGGCTTAGAATTCGTTCTTTCATTTTTATACTGACGTAAATAATAATTGTATTATAAATTGGACCGAATTGTGCAGAAACATTTTAACCCACGTAAACATAGTTATTCCAATTTGAAAGAGAAATACATTTTTCTTGTGCTCTATTATATCAAGTTAAGTATACCATTTTAAAGGTAATTGAAAATGTTGGTATTACTTGCTATTCTTCAGAAGTCTTTTATACTTGAAAATAAACTGAAAAAGGGGCCTTTGAATCATTATTTTGACCAGTTTGTGAGTTGGATCATTTCTGCACAACACTGTCCAATTATTATTTACGTCAGCGATAATAATAATTGTAATATAAATGGTATAACGTACACTTTGTATATTTTAAAACTGATATAGTTATTCTATTAAACGAAGAAGGTTTGAGTTTGGTTGTTGTTAGCCGTGCACATACACATTGTGTTAGTGTGCGTAACGCTACTCCCGAGCGCCCGCAGCCTACGCACACTATCACAATGTGTTTGACATTGGTTTTTGTTAGCCGTGCACATACACATTGTGTTAGTGTGCGTAGCACTACTCCCGAGCGCCCGCAGCCTACGCACACTATCACAATGTGTTTGACTTTGGTTGTTGTTAGCCGTGCACATACACACACTAACACAATGTGTCAGACATAGAATAACTATAGCAAAAAGGATAAAGCATATTGGGACAAAGGGCGCGTTTTGAGAGAAACCCATCTCTAAATGCTACAAGCTGATATTGACGAGAAATGTAATTTGTCCAAAAACAAATTGTAACATAGTCATAATGCTCAGATGTGAAAAGTATAAAGCTATATCTCTTCTTTTCCACCTCACCAGGCCGTAAATGTCAACTGCTTGGCCACTCCCGTTAAGGAGGATAGCTTTAGTCACCTTAATCACCACGCTTGGCAGGTGCATTGACGATTACAGTAACAGAGACCTCGAATTTTTGACGCTGTTTCCCGTCAGCTGTTTGGATATTTTACGTCTGGTGGAAACGAGATGATCATACCGCCATCTATCGGGAGCCATAAGATAGTTTTAGGATTTCCCCGAGTCACTTCTTTCGAAACCCATGGGACGTAATAAGGTATGGACTCTCTTACGCTACCACCACAACTGCGTTAAGATACAACAATTGTCGCAGACGCTGTGCAAAAAAGAAACAAAGTCTGGACCCAATATGCTGCGCTGTTTGGAATTTTTTTTCGATTGTGACAACCGAACTTACAGTTGCTATGTTGGTAGGTGACTACTGCAGTCCATGGAAACATGCAGCCAACTTAAAACAAAGAAGGCTACAGATACGTTGTCACCTCTGAGGACGTTCCGGTGAAATGGGGCTTCCGTCTCTACACTTACAATACGAAACACTGCAGCATTAGGCCTCATGCCCACGAGACTGCTTTTCGCCGGAGCTAAGCCCGGCGTCCAAGCGGATCTACGTCCGGTCGTCAGTATTGCATACAACACTATGAAGCCAATCACATGACGCCGGCGCTAGCGCCAGCTCACCGCGGAACTGCTACCGCCGGCGTCGTGTGATTGGCTTCATAGTGTCCCATACAATACTGACGACCGGACGTAGAAAAACCGTCTCGTGAGCATGAGGCCTTAATCTGCAATTTAACCCTGGTATTTTGTGACATGTTGTACTTCACTGGTCGAGCCCAGCTATTTGCGCTGCTATAACATAGCTGCAGTATACGCACGCACCACTTAAAAATCGCTTTAAGAAAACTTGTCAAAAATTAGTATATTTACTAGAAATAACTTCGTGAATACGTAACCTGACATCCATCAGCGAGTTCATTCTGTAAATCCTTGGCTGGGCTGAGGTTTGCCTACGAGCTGTATGAACTCGTAATCTGATACGCGACTATCGAAGAATTCCTCGCGATCCGACACAGGGACCTGGGATTAAGGAGACAGGAACGGGACATTAAGGAAAAGGAAAGTGTTGGTATGTGATAAAATATGGAAGGGACTGGAGGGATCGGTAGATTTCGGGTTACTTTATGCATATGCAATGAAGCATTATTTTGGTAAGGGTGTTATTTAAAGGTTTAGCATAGTATACATGTTTTTGTCAGCAGAGCAATGTAACCTAGCAGCAGAAATAGATAATTGGTTAGCAAACAATGGCTAGCAAGCATTATTAAACCAATCGACAATTTTTGACATTCTGAACGGCTGTAAATTTTTACATTTTATATCCTTATAATGTACGCGGCTTTAGGGCCATCCAACACAACAGGAACGTCAACGTCGCGAAATTTGTTACTCCTGTACATTCAGTTTACAATTATAATTAATTCACTAAATTAGTCTAGTAAGATAGTTATGAACCGGTATGTACCTAGAATCTTGCTGATCAATTAGTAGGTATTTTGCGGAATGACTGTTTATTAGGCAATCTCATATTATTGTAAGCTGCTTATTTATGATTAAATTACTGAACATTATCAAGATTATTTGCGAAACAAGAATTGCCGAATGTTTTTTTTTAATTGCAAACAGAATATTTGAATGCTAATCAAATTATTTAAATGCTGTTTGTGGCTAACCAAATTTTATTACAGCTTAACATTTAATTGCTTCTCTTTTCTTAATATCATAAGACCTAGTTAGACAAATGCACCTTGAATCTTAAAAATCCTACTGTTAATGCTTTATAGTGAACGTAAAAGTGGTCTAGGCAAGTCTACATTCAACTTCTGCTGCATATAGGCCTTCTTTGAGAATGTGCTTTGGTAGACCTTATGCTTAAAATCTCTTTATATATTCTTCTATTGACAAAGTGCCTAGGAAGAATTTCATACAATAAGGAAAATTTAGGAACTTAAATTTCAAAAATCTTTACTGATTCTGTTCAAAGTTTATTACGTCTGACATGATCATCATCTTTGGAGACTTTCATACAACAAACTTCCTTCCTCTTTTATTTGGAATTTTAGGTACATAAGATTCCAAATAAGAAGGATATATATCGATTCTTGTCAAAGTCTATGTCTGACATGATCGTCATCATTAAGTGTGATGCTGGTGGATTGCTGCCCTATGTTATAGTTTAAATAATAGTTTGAAGTTGATTATGCATTAAATGTCTACGCATGTGAACAATTAGTCGAAAAGATGAAACGATAAGCGATGACAGACGAATGTCTGCTTAGGCGCCTTTATCGTCAGCGACTGTGTGCTGACCCAAGCTGCCGCCGAAATCTCTCAATAACTTAGCAAAGCGATCACGTACGACGTATTGTGAAGAGGTTTTTAAACAGATTATCATAAAAGAACATCTTATTACCTGACACTGGCAAAAGTACAACAGTCCATTACTAAACAAAGAACTGTAATACTACTAAAATAAAATGATTATTGTAATACTCTAATTGAACTCTAATCGACTGATTAATATTCTAAATTTTTCTGTTTTATAACTAACCCTTAGGTGAAGTCTATCAAAATGATTGTGCCTTTGTAGAAATACTATAAAGTATACGCAATGTACTACAAAGTAACTATCATTATGATGTCAAACAACTTAACGAATGGGTCTGCCAAAACGCAAGGAGTTGATAAATGCATGTAGACCAGGACCATGCTTTGGGGCAAGTCGATATGGAGAACCCTATGTTAAGCATTGGGATCCTGATATACTGCAATGATAACGATGATGACGATAATGATGATGATGATGATGATAATGATGATAATAATATAAATACCTACATTCATGAAATTGGAAAAATATGAAAATGGAAAATACATCGCCCGCCCTCTACTTCTTTTAAGGCGTTTCCCTGACCAAATAACCTTGAGCATGCAATGCACTGCCGCCCGCACTCTGCGTACGCCCATTTATCGTAGAATTCATACAATTTTTGGAATAAATTTTAATTAAAAGAGATAAGCGAACTTTAAAAATTAAATAAAACGTGAATAATACAGATTTTTAAATTATCTATCCATTAGTGTAAGTAATCCTCAAATGATTAGTGCGTTGCCTTTAGCAACAGATGCATGTAATCAATAATTTTAGTCATTTTTTAAAAATAGTTTTTAAATGTATTTATAACACATAAAAACAAATTAGAACGTTGAATGTCATGATAGGACATTGAACATTAATAATGTGCTTTTAGATGTAGTTTATTTCTCATAACTAATGAGATAATAGTCTCTGAATAACGAAGAAAAACGCTCTATCGCAAGGTTTTGGTCGGGGTATCCGTCTTAATTTCTGGATGATAATAACCCATGAGAATGAGGTTATCGCTACCAAGCTATTTACATTTTAATTTTTGTTTTGTGTAGTTAATTTTGTAACAAAATTTGTTTATGATTGATAACAGTTATTTTTTCTTCAAAAAAAATGTTCAGCTGGGTTTCATTTTAGTTATTCCCAGAACAGAGGTATTTTACGAACCATTACTAAATCTAATATATAAAACTACATTTTTGTTTGTTCGTATTTTATGCGCTGCCATATCTTTCATCAAATTACGCTAAAACTTTGTCATATTATTACTTGCACTAGCGCGAAGGTTTAGGCATAGTACAATTAACTTACAGTAGGTGGCGCGCGTATAATACCGACAAATTTATATATATCATTCAATTTCAATAAGTGTATTATCATCTGTAATTATTTAAAAGACTCTTCGAAATTTAAAACGGTATTTCCACAATTATTTCTTCTGTGGCAGGAACGCGCCGGGTACCAGCTAGTTAAACTAAAAATATAATTTCATAAGTATTATTTATAATCTATATTAAATAAAAAGAAATCAGGGTGTTGCTGTGTCACGGCCGTGTTTTACTTGAATACGTGTACGTAACGCAACGTCCTCAAAATGGCGGCGCTCTCCCTCCACCGCGCGATGCGACACAGTCCTTAACGTTACTAATTCTTTGAGCCTGCTATCGAGTGGTGTAATTAAATATTGGATTTTAATTATAGATATATAGCTGCAACACCAAAATGTATCTATTACATGCTGTACGCATTACAAAAGACGAAGCAAACCATTTGGTTCTAATGCGTGGCATATCGACAACAAAGGGGTGAAGACCCGCCGACCGTCTGCTTGTCCGATGTTGGAAAGGATAGAGAGGAATTAAAGCATTTAATTCTTTTTTTTTTGTGTTAATTACAAAATTTCTATTTGTATTTGTGTTTCTTGTAGGGGTCATCGGCCTCACCTTTTCCTTCTCGGTGAGTGGCTTGTCCCCGACGCCCCAGACCTCGAGGCTGCGGATGCGGAAGGTGGGCTCCTTGCTGAGACGGCGGTAGCCCCGGTACGTGCTGCACGACTCCGCAGAGGAGCCCTCGCCGAACGGGTCCGCGTTTACCCAGATCCCGCCGAAGTGGAACTGCCCGCCCATCAGCTACGAACGTTACCATCATTAGTCGTAAGTAGTATCAGACCGAAGCTCCGGCTTCAGCTTGCGACTCCTGTTACGTTCGGCGAAACCTTCGGCGTCGGCCTGCCCCTTCTGGTCGAAGCCGAAGGTTTCTAGTAATCGCCGAAATAAAACGAAATCTAACGAATAAGCGAGAGTACGATGATGCAATTGAACGACGTCGTGAAACAATTTTTATCATCCATTACCCTTTTATATTATACAGTCGATATGAACCCTTAATTGAAGTTTTAAAACCAAATCATCAAATATTATAAATTTTAGGCAATCTTGAACCGAATTTCTTAGGGTATCTGTAAGCCTTCGGCTTCGACTTCGGCCAGTATTTGACCATCGGTCGGACACTAGCCGTAAGACGCGACTGAGGAAAACGGACAGGAGATAGACAGTAATTGTACAGTTAAAACCCAGCTCTTTGCTAAATTTTGCATACAGACGCTAGCATATTTCTTCTCCCCACCCAGCCTGCCTGTTTTCAAACCAATTCTCCACCTATAATGACGGTTGGACGAAAAATATACTGCGCACCGCGGCGGTATGTATGCAACGTTACACCTGTACATACTCCCGTGACCTCGTGCCAATCTTTGATCTTCGCCCCAGCTTCGACTAGATAGGATTTATTAGTGTAGCGTTATTTATAAATTTTTTTTGATCTTCAAGTTTTTCCAATAAAATACACTAAATCTCTCGTAGCATTGCTCTCTATTTGCTCGTAAATTTTCATTACAAAAGTTGAAAGAAGCTACTTATTTCAATATTACAGACAATTTAATTTCAGTTTTATATATATATATATTCATGTATCATTCGACTGCAGTATTTACTGTAAAAATATTGTCTCTTCGTGGATTTATATCAGTATTTATCCTGTTGGTCAAAGATAAAATAACAATGAATGATGTATTGATTGTTGAAATTGTTGTTGCAATTGGATTGTGTTATGCAGAAATGATTTTTGAATGTGGTAGAACCATGCTGTAGTCCATCCAGTATAGTTGTAGGTCAGCTGGCTCTTACAGAATACCAGCGTAAAATAGAAGCTCAATGCTGCTGTGTTTCGTATATTCCGTCTTAGCCCTCGAGAGTGACAACGCATCTGCATTTTGTTTCTTAATCTAGGGTAAGATGTAGTTGTCTATGGGCAGATGTCTACAGCATGCACTTACCACCAGCTGGGCTGCCTCTTCGTTTGTCACCCTTATTCTATAAAAAATAAACAGAAACTGGCCGATCCAGACGACTTCCAGACTTCTTAAAAATAAGACATAATCCCAAAATCTACATTCAATTTTCTTTAAAAATTTATAATATATAACATGAATACGGCTTCTGCCACAAGAAAAATTATATTTTTTTCAAATCTGAATAAATTTGTTTTGTGGGTTAAAACATTTCTATACAACAACGGTCCAATTTTAAGTGATGATTTACTATTTGCTCGGCGGTGAAGAAAATCTTGAGTGTAGAGAACCGGAGACCCTTTTTACTGGAAAAGAGGCATTCCATCTTAATCCTCACGGGTGACGACGCATCTGCATTTTGATTCTTTATTGAGGATAGATGTAGATGGCTATGGGTCACAGCAACCACTTACCATCATGTGGACTGTGTGCTCGTTTGTCACCCTTATACTATAAAAAAAAGGAAACTTGTATATTTGAAGAATAAAAATATTACAAAGATATGTTGAGTCCGTAAACGCGCGGTGGACTAATTGAGATTTAGAAATTAGGTAAAGCCTATTCCCAGCAATGGGACATATTTATGTTGTAACTTTAATTTGTACTCACCAATCCATTAGGCAATGTTTTCGTATGATGGTTAATATACTGATAGTGGTCATTGTAATTGGTGGCGGGGTACATGCGCATTTTGGGTGCGGCAGCGAACAGGAACGACTCGTCGGTGCCGGTGAAGTTGGGCCCCATCGACCACGCGACGGCCGCGAATCCACCGAAAATATAGCCGTGGGTGTCTTCGATTATGAGGATCGAGGGACCCTGGTCAATGATTCGACCTGTAATAAATTAAAAGCATGCATCATTATTTTTCACTATCGGCGGGTTATCCCAATATTGGCTCCTGTAAAGTTAACTTTAACACTTTAAATAGTCAAATTACTATATTTGAGTCCAGAAAAAAATGTATGTCAGAGATACATCCTTTATTGAGTGATATTAAAGGTTCAAAACACAATACATTGTACTTTGTTCTAGATCGAAAAAATTCCGATACAGTGTCGATTTTAAAACATTTTTGTTTTTGTTTTACATCGTAATTACAGCACGAAATTATATTAAAATTGCATGTACTTAAAGGTATTATAAAGTGATTTTAATGGATAATTTTTTGAAAATCAAGTTTTGTTAACAAATAGAAATTAAAATAGTAAAACGGCTCACGCGGTGACGCGCGCCTCGCACTTAGTGTCCGGACGTCATTGGACCTGTGTTAAGTTATTTAGATGCGCTCCCGGCGCTTTTGAAATTGCCATATAAAAAAAATATCAAAGTTGAAAAACAAACACCATCTGGTGACAACAATAACATATTCTAAGTAAATCAGTACGACGGTTATTGTTTCCGAAAATGTATTTCCCTCCCCGGTCGAGCCGACCCATTCGCGCTACAACCATAACATAGCTGCAGCATGGCACTACTACGTAAAAAAAACATCAGTGAGACACAAAAAACATGGTGTGAGACATCTTTACGATGGCTAATCCGTATTCCGAAGCATGGCGATCAAGGCTACAAGAAAGGCCAAGTCCAGCAGACAGGCCAGCAGCTGTACATTTATGGAAAAGAAGATTGAAGAATAAAGAAGAAAATTATATTACGTAAATCAACTCACCGGCCATAGTCGAGAAAGATTCACCGTGGATGTGCGAGGAGAAAAGAAAACGCCACTTGTGCTGGTACTTCTGCGGCAGGTGACTGTTGATCCATACGATGTGGGACAGGTCGATGAAGGCCGGATAGTCCGGCATCACGTCTAAACCTATTAACAACAAAGTTTTCTTAATGTAGTGTATCATTATTATTTTTTAATTTATTAAGGTTAAATAAACAATAGCACTATAAAATATATGAACAACAAAAATGATAAAAAAAAACTTAACAATTGTGAGACCAAAACGACATTCACCATAGCTTACATCTATACTCTATACAAATAAATAAAATTGAAGTGTCTGTGTTTGTAATGTTAAAATCACAGTTTTTTACTAAATGCATATGAACGTAAATACGGTACTTATAACTAAAATACAATTATTAAATTTTTTGTCTGTCTGTCTGTTTGTTCCAGCTAATCTCCGAAATGGCTGGACCGATTTTGACGGGACTTTCACTGGCAGATAGCTGATAACATAAGGAGTAAATTAGGCTACTTTTATTTTAGAAAAAGAATTAGGGTTCCGTGCAAAAAAATACATAAAATAAAATAAAAGTAGCTTAAGTTATTCCTTGTGACATCAGCTATCTGCCAGTGAAAATCCCGTCAAAATCCATCCAGCCGTTTCGGAGATTAGCCGGAACAAACAGACAGACAGACAGACAGACAAAAACTGTAATTTTGACATTACAAACAGACACTTCAATATTATTTATTTGTATAGATATATTCTGGTTTATTCGAACTTCGTTACCTTTTTTTCTCATTAGTACTTTACTTTTGTTGCACTACCTCCCATATGTTTATCTCTGCTTAGCCTAATGGTTGACTGGGAGAGAATGCCTTAAGGCATTAAGTCCGCCATATGTACGATTTTTTTTTGTGTTTAAATAAATAAAAATATGAATAAATATACCTCTCAGTCCTATTTTGACCAGAGACTTACAGGTCAAGCTCCTACAACTTTTTTCGCCACCAGGGCGGGCGCCACTTTGGTATTCCAAACGTGAAATATCTTATGGCGAGGAAGTTAAATTATTACAAAAGTGTAATGATTTATAATTCTTAGTGAAATATTAGTTATACTTTCCATTAATTAGTAAAGTAAGTAATTGGTACGTATATTTCTAAAAGTTGAAGAATTAAAAAAAAAAAAATTCAATTTGTTCTGTGTGACATACTTACTCAAGAAACCGGTAAAATTTTATTTCGAACACAACTTTAGAATTATAATGTCATTGTGTAACAAATTACCTCACCTCAATACCAACTAGCGGCATCTGGTGAGCGGAGAATTATTAGCCCTCATTGTGATACTTACCTAGTTTGTAGTAAAAGGCTACTAATGGGATATAGGGTTTGAGATGGTGTGCGCAATGGACTGGACATCCATCATTTCTTTCACAATTTTCCATTTAAACACATAATTTTTTTGCAAACGTTACATTTTATACTTACATTACTTTTTATTAATTATGCCACACTGTACAAAAACATGCAAAGCACATAATTAGTGTATAATATAAAAATATATATAATAGACTAGCGAACGCCTTGGCACCGTTGATTTCTGAATCTCGCTAACAGCTCCACCTACCGGTTCCAATTGTGAATCTAAACCATCCGGGGCAAACCCACTCAAACACACACAAAAAAAATTTATCAGAATCGATCGAGCCAGCTTTGAGTATTAGCGAGACTAACGGACAGCATTTGATTTTTATATATAGAAAATTAAGATAAACAATAAATATATGCAATGGACAATCTCTTCCAGACAACCAATGGACGGACAGGATTGTAAGAAGAATGAATGAGCCTCGTCTCTTTTCATCAAATTAAATAATACTATCTAAAATCTAAACATACTTAACAATCAGTGTTTGTATGACTTACCATCAGGTATAGGTAGCAACGCAGGCGCGACAGGGGGGAGAGGGGTAGGACTCTCATCGCCGCCCTTTTTGTTGATGCCGTAAAGATTCACGTACACCAATTCCGCTAGTTGCCTCAGTAATGTATTGGATTGTAGCCTACAAATAAAAATGTATTATTGTACACACGGCGTATAGTAGCGATATAAGATAATTCACTGGCTAGCCCATATTATCCTGTGGGTGTCGTAAGAGGCCACAGAGGGAAATAAAACGGGAGATTAACAGTAGCTTCTGATAACTACTAGAAATGATAAAAAAGCTGTGGTTGGCAATCCGACTACTACGGTTTTTTTGCCGGAGCTAGGACCGGCGTCAAACCGGGTCTACGTCCGGTCGTCAGTATTGTACGGGACACTATGAAGCCAATCACACGACGCCGGCGCTACCGCCGGCTCACCGCGCAAATGGTCTCGGGGCATGAGCCCTAAGAGTAGCAACTATGACAAATAACCTGTATGTATATAAACTTGTAAATATGAATAACCTGTAAATAGGTGAGGTCAATGTTAAATAGTAGAACTTTTGATAGGCTGTAATGATGATAACTGATGATGATACTAAAACTGTGAGAGTGTCAAAATCACCAGTGGCAGATATATTTGATATCCCACCTTAGATACCACCAGAAAAAAATATACATATAAATATACACTAGCTAGTTCAGGGTACCAGCGAAACAATTATACAGCAGATGAGCGACCTATTTATGTTTCTTGTATTGTTACTAAGCCTAAGCTATTTCGTACCGTGAGTGTCGTAGGAGGTGACATTGGGAAATCCCAGGGAAATCCCAGGGAAATCTCATGGCTTCCTAAAAATGGTATGTATTACAACCATGAAGCAAATACAAAGAGGAGGTGTTGTAATTAGATTTCACTGTGTAACAACGCGTGACAATTTGCGAGGTGAGGGGATGTTAAGCCCCGCCCACTTTACTATCTACATCTACCGATAAATAGTCAAACTACTCGAATCGTTCCATATCGATGTTGCAATGTAGTTTAGCTACCTTGACAATAGATGGCGACCTGTTCACAAAATGATTACAAAAACTATAAAAATAATATTTTGGCGATTAAAAATTTATTAGGACTGAATGCAAAACAAATTTCAGCACCCTCGTATGATTATTTTACCAATACTGAGCTCTACGTACCTTTATATTTTTAGTTCACTTGACACAAAGTGTCGCCATCTAGTGTCCAATAAATTTAATTATATTTGAAAGCCGACGCAGAGATTTTTCTAGAACTATTTTAATAAATTAGGTGTACAATTACTTACAACTGAAATGTGATGCCATCCATAGCATCAGAGCATCTATCTCAGTAGTTTTTACACGATAAAACACAACACTTCATCCTTTTCTTCTTAATACTACGAAAACACACCGATTTGCGATTTTCAACACAGTATACTAACTAAAGACCCGCCCACTATGATGATGTCAGGACCTACTTAGAATCACAGTGCACAGTTGCTTATGCCGTCTCATCTTTGTATTTGCTTCATGATTACAACTATCTTGTTTACGCCACAAGTAAAAAACCGAAGCCACGGAGAGCAGCGTCAAAAGTGTAAAACGTATAAATATCTCAATAAAACCAAGCGTGAAATTCCCAGATCAGCCATGAGCAGCGCCGACAAAAGTAAAGACGTTTGAAACTGCGATCTTCAATGGGATTGCGATCGACAAGCCTGACGATTAAAGGAAGTACCTAACAACGAGAGAGGATTTCTCCGGGTCACTAATGAAAAACTTTCTACCCATGGGCGTTCTCCTCAATTAATCCTATGTTTTCAATTGACAGTTATACCTAATCTAGACAATCATTTGGCGCCTAAAACCAATGTTAACAATGTGACATCTTACCAAGTATTGAAAACTTAAGTGCAATATTTAACAACTTACCACTTAGACAGCTGGGCGGCAGTACAGTGATGCTGCGGCGATTCCAGATCTCCGCCAACTGTCGCCGCCACTGCTTCCCCCAGGGCTTGGACATGGGACGCGCTAACCCTAAAGCCTTTTTCTATCCACGTGCGCACTTTTTTCGCCGAGGAAGACTTGACAATCTTCATGTAGGTGGACGCTATACTTTCGCAGTACTAAAAGAAAAAGACAAATCAAATCAGAGGTGAAGATAAAGAAAAGTGAACATTATCCCATTTCCTCCTATAAGTGACGTCAGAGACGGCTATATGAAATACAGCGAAAAGTTTATATTGCTTCCGATAGATGGCAGTGACCGTCTCGTTTACAGCAGGCGTAAAATACCCAGACCGGCAACGGTAAGTGACGTCAAAGATGCGAGACACCTGGTACCGCGATCGTAAGTATTCTGGGGGGGGGAGGGATTTCGCTCGAGGTTAAACCTCGGGGCAAACGGAGCAATAAGTCGAAGACACCCCCTGACACGCTATCCGTGAATTTCTGCAACATCAGGGGACTTCATTCAAATCTTAACGCTTTCCACTACTACCTGGAAACGGCGAAGTCGACCTTGCTCTTTCCAACCGAGCCACAGGTGTCCTCTCCGCCTGATACTTCGTATCTCTTCTACCCGGGGTACAAATTAGAACACTCCTTCGTGCTCCAGGCTGGTGATTGCGTGTACGTCAGGAGGACATCTGTTTTCGACGCCTCGGCAGCCTTGAAGGTTCGGACCTGTCCATCTTATGGCTGCGTGTAGACAGCGACGACCATCCCCGCGACTACGAGTGCCTCTATAGGTCCCATAGCGGCAATGCCGAAACAGACCGACTCATTGACCACGTCCAAATGGCTGCAGACTCCGTGCTACAACAGGTCCCATTCCCAGATATCGTGATGCTTGGTGATTTTAACGCCCACCACGCTGAATGGCTTGGTTCTTGTTTAACCGATCATGCGGGTAGATCTGTATATGAATTTGCTTTGGTATATGGTCTGACACAACTGGTTACCTCGCCTACGCGGATCCCAGATGTGGAAGATAATGTACCTTCCCTATTGGACCTTCTGCTGACCTCTCATCCGGACGGATATCAGGTTTCCGTCGACGCTCCTTTAGGCTCGTCGGACTATTGTCTTGTCCGGAGTGTGGTGCCACTCACTCAACCTGCAGAATGCAACCGCATCGCTAGCGGTTGCATTCTGCAGGCTGTCGCCGTGTTTGGCACTATAGGTCGGCCGATTGGGATAGGATGCGGTCTTTTTATCCTACTCTTGGGGGCGGGTTTGCTTCTCGCCGGAATATCCCAGCGGTGTTGCTGATTCTGTTGCAGATGTGGTACTTCAAGGTATGGAACTTTTTATTTCATCCTCTATGGTGCCTATCAGAGGCAGATCCCAGCCATGGTTGCGGTCGCTCCTGTAAAATAGCATCACGCTATAAGCAGGAGTGCTACCAGGCCTGGGCTGATGCATCAACGTCTCGGGATGTAAACACCAGCGCTCTTAAAAATAAGTATAATTCCGCCTCCAGGTCCTTCAAAAGAGTCATTGCCAATGCAAGGTCTGAGCACATCGGCAGAATTGGCGAGAAACTAGTTCGTCTTCCTTCGGTAATACGTGCATTCTGGTCTCTCGTCAATGCTGTCCAAGGGAAATTCTATCAGCCATCTCTTCTATCTCTGCACAGGGACGACTCACTGGCCCATGCTGCAAAGGACAAAGCCGGTCTGCTGGGATCTCTCTTTACGTCCAACTCTACTCTTGATGACGAGGAGAACACACCACCGACCACCTCTCGGTGTGAGTGAGAGTCCAACTATAGGCCTATCGCCATCACCTCCTTGTTCTCTAAAATAATGGAGTCCATTATTAACAGCCAGCTCATGCGGTACCTTGAGAATCACCAGATGATTAGTGATCATCAGTGCGATTTGCATCGCGGTCGCTCGGCCGGTGATCTTCTGGGTTACCTAACTCATAAATGGGCGGAGGCAGTAGAGTCCAAGGGGGAGGCGTTAGACGTTAGTTTGGACATAGCGAAGGCCTTCGATCGGGTATGGCACAAAGCGCTTCTTACGAAGCTTCCTTCCAATGGGCTTCCGGATAAATTGTGCAATTGGATCACCAGTTTTCTTGCAGATCTGAGCATCAAGATCATAGTAGACGGTGCATGTTCCGGTTACGAGCACATTAACGCTGGTGTTCCACAAGGCTGCATGCTATCGCCAACAATGTTTCTTCTGCATATCAATAACATGTTGCAAACCGGTAACATTTATTGCTATGCGGGTGACAGCACTAGTGATGCTTAATACACCGGCCGTGCCAATATTTCTCGGGAAAACGTCACCGAGTACTGGGACAAACTTGTGTCTGAAGTCTACTGGGGGCGACTAAATCTAGTCCAGTTCGATCACCAGAAGACACAAGTTTGCACGTTTACCACTAAAAAGAACCCCTTCATCGTATCTCCTCAGTTTCAAGGCAATCCCCTTAATGCCTCAGCCAGTTTCGGAATCCTCAGCGTCGACATATCGAGTGACGTCAAATTTCGTGGTCACTTGGAAGAGAAGGCCAAATTGGCCCCTAAAAAGCTTGGCGTGCTCAGCAGAGCGGGACAGTATTTCATGCCGGCATACCGCCTACAAGGCGTAGGTTCGGCCGCACATGGAATACTGTTCTCATCTCTGGGCTGGAGCTCCCCAGTGCCAGCTCCTTCCATTTGATCGCATCCAGCGCAGAGCTGTTCGAATCGTCGGCGGCCGAGCTCTTTCCGATCGGCTTGACTCACTAGCACTGCGAAGAAATGTTGCATATCTTTGCGTATTTTATCGCATTTACCATGGGGAGTGCTCTGAGGAATTGTTCGGACTAATTCTAGCCGCACAATTTCACCATCGCACATAGCGACAAAACTCGCGATACCATCCATACCATCTGGATGACTGGCGATCCGAAGAAGTTTTCTTCCTCGCACAACTTCCTTGTGGAATCGACTACCACCAGAGATTTTTCCGGACTGATACGACTTAGGGACCTTCACGAAAAGGGCGTACTCCTTTTTAAAAGGCCGACAACACATGTGCAATTTCCCTGGTGCTGCAGTTGTTCATGGCCGGCGGTAATCACTTACCATCAGGTGAGCCATATGCTCGTTTGCCCCCTCTCCTATAAAAAAAAACCTTATTATTATTAGTTACCTCTTTCAACAGCTGGTAAGGAAGCTCCACTTCCTCGTTGTAGTTCATTCCGAGACAGTTGTATGTCACCACCATTCTTTCATCCACGGTGCCTGTAATAAATGTACCGCAAATTGCTTTCAAATTTCATTTGCAGTACGACGGTCATGTTAGACATTACGCTGTATCGTTGTGTCGTAAGAGGAGACAATGGTAAAAATAAAAATATGTTTTGGTGTCCGATAGATAACAGGTTAGTCGATCAGCGTTAAGAGGAAATGCGGGTGATCTTTTCTCCATACAAGAGATCTCGCCTGTTTTCTTTCTGGTTAATGACCTTATAGCAATGAATTTTTACAGTAAAATAAATATCAACTTCTTATATGTCCCTATGTTTTCCTTTTTCATTATACATTATATTCACTAAAACCCTTACAAAACGCTCAAAATTGCCTATTTTAGACCGCTGTCAACATAGGCCTAGTGTTCAAATTTGATACCCTACTAAACCTTCCTGAAAAAAGAAAATAATAGGGACACAATGTATATCCTTCTCATTCAGTTTATGAAATATCTCTTTTTTTAAATTCGTGCAATATTGGAGGAGGAAATGGTAGAGAGCCAAACCTAGAATTATGCCTTTTCATTTAGACTATTCAGTCGGATCTGTAGTCGCCCTAATCGGACGCCGAGCGCTCGCAGAGCGACCGCGATAGTTTCTTCAAATGCCTAATTTTCAAGTCTCTCGACCCGCATTTCCCATCAAAAGTGGACTTCTGATACTGCAATTACTACACTATGGAGGGGCCTACATATTCAACACTGAACTCTTTTAGGCTGATAAATAAGCAATAAGAAAGGTTATCAGAATAAAAATTTAAATCGACGATTTGGCCTGAGTGAAAGCTTACAGTTACTATTGAGAAGGCAGGCAGGCCGCATGCTCAGGTTAGAGATCGCAGAATCACAGAGGGACTCGTCTTCAACCAATTCTTTTTAGTTACTTCGGACCGAAATTCGAATCTAGGACCCGTGACGTGGAAAGTACCCTGTAGTAGTAGTCAAGCGATAAGGAACTCTGTGCAGGCATTGTGCCCAAAAACGGTAGTCGTATTTTGAAAAATACAAATATGAGAGCCAGATATAGACTAAAAAAAATTGCCCTGTTAAAACGCTATTTCGTTATATTTCTACAGATTTTACGCATTCTTTTAATTTTCATTCTTTCGCAGCCGACTTCATTTGTTTGTCATGTCAAAAGAATAATTCAACAAACTTTATTTAATAGTTTAAAGATATATTACAAAACTATTTATTCGGAAAGAATTTTTAGAGAACCGAAGACCCTTATTACTGGAAACGAGCCATCCCATCGTAGCCCTCAGCGGTGACAACTCATCTGCATTTTGATTCTTAATCGAAGATGAATTTAGATGTCTATGGGTCACAGCACCCACTTACCATCGGGTGGACTGTGTGCTCGTTTGTCACACCCATTCTATAAAAGAAAGTATTATTTCCTCAAAAAGATTGCAAATCGACTTAGAAGTTGGAGTATAGGATATATTTGTACGAGTTTGTAATAATTACCTCTAACATTATAAACGTAGAGCTCTGCGAATCTGTTAAAGTCGACTGACAGCACCTTCTGCTGTCCAAAACCGAATAGAAAGTTGGTGAGGTACTGCGCGAGTCGTGGATCTATTTGAGGACCCCAGAATTTCTGCAAGTACATCACAACACATATATTTACACAATAATTGAATTAGGCAATCATTATCTTCTATCTTTATCATTATCTTCTATCTATATATATTCTGTCCGTGTGTAACTGAACCTCCTACTAAACAGCTGGATTTTGATGAAATTTTATGTGTGTAATTAAGTTGATTCGAGAATGGTTTAGATTCACAATTGTACCCGGTAGGTGGCATTGTTGTCCAGATCCAGGATAGAAGCCGGGTCGGATAGCTAGTCTATATATTATATATAAAAATCCATTGCCATGCACAAGGCTCACAAAAACTCGAAAATGGTTCGATCTATTTTGATGATTTTTTTTGTCGTGTAATAATTAAAATTAAAAAAATAATGTAAATTTGCATCTCGATCATGAATTTGTTACCACACCTAATTGATAACAAAAAACAAAAGAATAGTATAGTAACAAAAAAAAAATAAAAGAATAGTATAATTTTAAAAGCAGAAAAAGATTAATTTCGTAATTACTATCCGGAATTTGTCTATACGCATAGTGGTCACAATACGGTGGAGCAGTGTCAAATAAATGGCCTAAAGGTCTAGATGCCAGGCCATAAACTCCAAAAAAAAAGTGTCAAATATTAATCAATTACCCCGTGACGTCAATAGGGTACCGAAAGAGAGATGCAAGTAAATTTTGTGGCATCCGCCATATGCGGAATTACACCATGAATTATTTATCATTTGACTTTGACTACGTTGTCATCGCTGAAGATAAACAGTGTGAGGAAACTGCATGACTAAGAAGTTAGGTAAATCTATTTTGAGGACATACGAGTAATATAAAGCCCGCCATCACGCGGCGTGACAGTGCGGCGTACTCTTCCCTGCTCAAAACACCCTCTGAGAAAAAGCCTATGCCCAAATTCGGGACTGTCTCGCAACTAGATATAGGTAGGTTGTAATTTTACTAACTTCATTATATTGTTATCACGTTGTCAGTAGAATTAATAAACGAGAGATTAGGCCAACATTTTGGGTCCATAATTTTAACATTTTCAACTTAGCTGCACCTTCTTTTTTTTATAGAAGAGGGGGCAAACGAGCATGCGGCTCACCTGATGGTAAGTGACTACCGCCACCCATGAACAACCGCAACACCAGGGGAATTGCAGATGCGTTGCCGGCCTTTTAGAAAAGTGTAAGCTCTTTTCTTGAAGGTTCCTAAGTCGTATCGGTCCGGAAAATTCGCTGGTGGTAATTGATCCCACAAGGAAGTTGTGCGAGGGAGAAAACTTGCTCACCGAGAAATAAATTTGACGTGCCTTTGTCTGCGTCTGTCAGTGACTGGATTTTTGTGTTGTCTGTCTGTCTGTCCGGGCTTTCGAAATAGCTGAACTGATTGTATTGAAACTTCTCAAACAGATATGAGAGCTATGCCAGGAGTGATCTAGGATACATTTTATCCCAAAAAACTGAGATTTAGTTTAAATCCCGGAAATTGTCTTAAATCTAAATAACGCCACATTAATAGGGAGTATTTATTAATAGGTAAAACCAGACGAGGCCGGGGCGGGTCGCTAGTTTATAAAAAAATACTAAATGAGCATTACGCAACAAACATCATATCATATAATTTAAAATTAAAAATTTTGTACAGCCGACTTCAATATAAGTTATTTAGAATAACTCGAAAAGTATTGGTCTGACCTTCATCAAATTGGGAAAAATATCATATGGGACCACACGACAAGTATCAGCTTTCAAATAAAAAAAAATCATCGAAATCGGTTCACCCAGTAAAAAGTTATGAGGTAACACATAAAAAAAACATACAGTCGAATTGAGTACCGTCTCCTTTTTGGAAGTCGGCAGAAAATGTCAACCGTTTACATGACTAAAAGATAAATCCACGGAACCTATGATGCATGCGTGATATTCCACGCACCAACGCCTTCGTCCGTCAATTAGGCGGGCATATTACGGCAACGCTGACCCAAATTCCTCTAAACACCTCGCTGGATATTTCACCAAACCGGTAGCTGTGCGACTTCTTAAATCAATTTTCACAAGCTTTTATTCCAAAACATTTACTCGATTCCACGAAACTAGAGTTTAAGGTGTTATTTTTATGACGTTTACGGACATTTTATGGATATGTTAATGGCGCTGAACTATTTAAAACGTTTAAATATTATGATGTTGGCCAAACTTAAACTTGGTAGAGCCATGCTGTAGCTATATTAATTGTATTGTAGCACGAATGAGTCGGCTCGACCGGGGAAGGCCCGCGCTCTCACAGAATCATCATCATCATCATTACAGCCCTTCACAAGTCCACTGCTGAACATAGGCCTCCCCCAAAGAATGCCACAAAGCACGGTCCTGAGCCACCTGCATCCATCGACTTCCTGCATATCTTACCAGGTCGTCACTCCATCTAGTGGGGGGACGCCCTACACTTCGCCTGCCGGTACGAGGCTGCCACTCGAGAACCTTTCTTCCCCATCGGTTGTCGGTTCTTCGAGCTATATGGCCGGCCCATTGCCACTTCAGCTTACTAATCCGTTGGGCTATGTCGGTCACTCTAGTTCTACTGCGGATATCCTCATTTCTGAGTTTATCACGCAGAGAAACTCCGAGCATAGCCCTCTCCATAGCTCGCTGAGCGACCTTGAGCTTCCTCATCCGGCCAGCAGTGAAGGACCACGTCTCAGTTCCGTATGTCATCACTGGCAACACGCACTGGGTGTACAGTCTCGTTTTCAAGTTTTGAGGTATACCTGACGAGAAGATGTGCCGTAATTTCCCGAACGCTGCCCAACCGAGTTGAATCCGTCGATTGACCTCTCGGTCGAAGTTGGACTTACCTAGTCGGACTATTTGTCCCAGGTAAACATACTCGTCAACAACTTCGAGCTTAGTGTTCCCAACAACTACCGGTATAGGTGTGACATGGACATTAAACATGATCTTTGTTTTGTCCATGTTCATCTTAAGACCTATCCGTTGGGAATTTGTTTTGTCCATGTTCATCTTAAGACCTATCCGTTGGGAAACACTATTGAGGTCATTGAGCATAGTGCTTAGGTCCTCCAGCGATTCTGCCATAAGGACTATATCGTCGGCAAATCGAAGGTGAGTGATGTACTCGCCATTGATGTTGATACCGTATCCTTTCCAGTCCAGAAGCTTGAAAACATCTTCCAATGCAGCGGTAAAGAGTTTCGGGGATATGACGTCACCCTGTCTTACACCTCTCTGCAATTGGATAGGTTTCGTACTCTGGTTCTGTACTCGGATAGCCATCGTAGCCCTACTGTACAAGCACTTCAACACTTCGATATACCGACAGTCAACTTGGCATCGCTGAAGGGACTGCAGCACCGCCCAAATTTCGACGGAATCAAAGGCTTTCTCATAGTCCACATACGCCAGACATAGTGGCAAATTGTACTCCTCGGACTTCTGTACAATTTGCCGAAGGGTATGTATGTGGTCTATGGTGCTAAAGCCTTTTCGGAAACCGGCTTGTTCGGGAGGCTGGAAGTCGTCAAGTCTGCGCGCGAGACGATTCGTAATGACTCTCGAAAACAACACGTAGACGCGGGTCACAAGGGAAATCGGTCTGTAGTTCTTCAAGAGAGCGTTGTCGCCTTTCTTGAAGAACAAGACCACCGCACTTCTGCTCCACGCCTCCGGTGTAATGCCACCATGGAGGACGGAATTAAAGAGCTTCTGAAGGACTTCAAGTACCGGTTTTCCACCCGCTTTCAGAAGCTCTGCTGTAATTCCAACCTCGCCTGGGGCCTTGCCGTTTATCAGGAAGAATACCAGCGTAAAATAGCAGCTAAATGCTGCTGGTTTTCATGTGGTGAGTGTAGAGAACCGTAGACCCTTTTTACTGGAAAAGAGGATTTCCATCAAGTCTTCAACGCATCTGTGTTTTGATTTGCAAACGAGGATAGATGTAGACGTCCACAGCAACCACTTACCATCAGGTGAACTGCGTGCTCGCTTGACACCCTTATCCTATAAAAAATATTATTATTACCATTAATCATTAAAATAGAATATAATGGAATATTCAAATATTAAAATTTATAATGTCACAAAATCAATTCAAAATTGATTTTTACACTTTTCCCCTCTGCTATTCCAAGTATTTCAGACCCACGACTACTACGGAGCATAGTCTGTGTAAACTAAAAAAAATTAACGGAGGCATGCAAACGCGTCACCCACGCTAGTCTATCGACTAAAAAACATTGTCATGTTTTATTAATAAATCACAGATTAACAGTGTAAGGAGAGCACGTAACTGTTCTCTTGCGCAAACAGGTAAAGAACACACTTTATTTACGTGGTAGAGCCATGCTGCAGCTATATTACCTGGTATAGTTGTAGCACGAATGGGTCGGCTCGACCGGGGAAGGACCACGCTCTCACAGAATACCAGCGTAAAATAGCAGTTTAATGCTGCTGTGTTTCGTATGGTGAGTGTAGAGAATCGGAGACCCTTTTTACTGGAAAAGAGGCATTCCATCTTAGCCCTCACCGCTGACAACGCATTTGCATTTTGATTTGCAAACGAGGGTAGATGTAGATGTCTATGGGCCACAGCATCCACTTACCATCAGATGGACTGTCTGCTCGTTTGTCACCTTTATCATATATAAAAAAAATCTTAAAAGGGTAGCCAATAATACATTATATTTATTTATATTATTTACGCTGTGTTTTGGCGGCACGACATAAGAATATATACTATCGCATCATCTCTAGTTATTGTAAAAAGCAACAGAGGGAAACTGAATGGAAAATAAACAAGGTTATGTTTCAATGAGTAGCCAAATTTTAAACTTAAGTAAATTATATAAATAATGATATACCGATAATGCAGTTTTTGAAAATACGAGTAAATAAGGCTTCTACTTTTATTTGAAATTATCCCAAATTGAATGTGATTTATGGGCAACAATGTTTTTGCCCCCTGCGAATGTGTGCGTGCGTAGTAAAACC